TAAAAGTCCCTCCTTTCTGGGAGATGGCAGCCTAATATAGAAGCTAACCACACAGATAGTTACAATATTGTGTGATAAAGCGCTACCCCCCTGAGTCAGGGATGGCAAATACATTTCCTACCTATGCCATCTCTCATCAGTTAACAGTGGTGTTCTGTGAAAGTTCTAAGTTTGTGTCCAGCTGGGTGGGAAAGAGTGCTGTGATTGATTAGTGATGTCTGCCACAGCTCTGGGAGAGGAAATAACAGTATAAGCACCATCCTAGCTATTTATAACTTAGAAGCACCAGTAACCCTGGGGGCAATTATCTTAATGGGGTCTGGTGAAAATCTTATAGTCATAGGAATGGACAGAAAAGTTCTAGAAGGAAAAAACGGCATGTGTGGTATGTGGATGAGGGGCTGAGGAGATGAAACCTTTTCTTTTTTTTTTTTTAATTCCGAATGTCATTTATTCAAGGAGGGAGGAGGTCTTAAATACAGGCTTACAGCGCAATGGGAGAACCCCGGAGGGCAGAAGTTCACTACAGATGTTTTACAATCTTGCATCTAAGCTGTTAACGCCCATTATGCAGGATACACAGACAAGGAATTTCCCTTAAGCGAGGAGATGAAATCTTAACGAGTTTTCTGTGACTCCTGCCTAGGGCAGCAGTGGAAATTGGGCTGGAAGGGAGACAGGGACAGAGGGCCTCGGGCCTTGAGTTTATGGCTGACCTCCAGGCTGGCCATTGAGCGTGAGCAGTGCTCCAGGGCCGAGCCTCACTCACCTCTCTGCATCACGCAGCATCTCCAGTGGCCCCGTCCAGAAGCCTGGCATCTTCATCAGCCATGTGAAGCCCGGCTCCCTGTCTGCAGAGGTGGGCTTAGAGGTAAGTGCCAGGATGGGAGAGGGGCAGGGGCCGTACACTGACAGATGTTGTGCCTCCCACATAGCCTTTTCCTGGCCAGCACCGGCCGGTCTCCAATGGGGAAGGCTTTGCAGAGAAGGGGTATATTACACCCCTCTGTCGTCTTCAGCCCAGCCATTGGTCCCAGGTCTGAGGGTGTGGTGACGATAGAGTTGACATTCTGCATTCTAAGCCCTATCACAACTCTGAGGATTAGGCACTTACGTTACCCCCACACTGAGGAAACCAAGAGCTGGTTCCTCCAAGGGTGTGTACCTACAACCTAGGGCTGGGAGTCAAATCTACATGGTCTTCTGTCAGAGCTGTGACTCTTAATCGCTTCTTGAAGCAGAATCCTCAGCCACAGGGTAAGGATGCTAGAACCTTCCTTCTAGAGTTGTTGTGTAGATTAAATTAACAGTTAGGCCGGATCTGTGCCAGGCACATAAAGTTGATCAATGAATGTCAGCCATGACTGCTACTATAATGAGGGGTCAACAAAGCCTGTGCTGTCTGGGGAGTCCAAAGCCTTCTGTGTCCATTAACTAAACCTTGTAAAGGAAATGTCATAATTTAGCAAAAGATAATAACTTCCAGTAGTATGGTATTTGATAGCCAGTAAGACCATTGTGGGCTGGAGGGGTGCCAGGATGAACTCCAGGCCCTCCCAGAGCCCCATCAGAGCATGCCACCTGGTCTGTTCCCTGGAAAGTTAGAATTGGGCTGCTTGGCCACCAGCCTCTATGTCTGGCATGCCAGGAGACCTTCCTGCAGATGGATGTAGAGAACACTTGTATGTGCTCGCTCGAGCACACGCGCGCACGCACACGCGCGCGCACACACACACACACACACACACACACACACACACACCAACCCTTTTCTGTTTCTCTCCCAGACAGGAGACCAGATTGTGGAAGTCAATGGCATCGACTTCTCCAACCTGGACCACAAGGAGGTGAGACGTGGGGTCCTCACCTGCTGTATCTCCTCCCCATACGCTTCTTCCAGCCAGTGCTACGATGGCTGAGACCCTTATGCTCTCGGCCTGCATTGCTCCAGTCCGAGTGTCAGGCCCCAGCTGACTGCCCCCCTGTCTCCACAGGCCGTGAATGTCCTGAAGAGTAGCCGCAGCCTGACCATCTCCATCGTAGCTGGAGCTGTGAGTTCAGAATGAGGCAATGGCCCCCCATGACCCCTGGCCAACTCTGTGACAGGGGATGCCCTCATTCCTCGGGGGCTGAACTTCCTCCCCCCACCCCCACAGGGCCGGGAGCTGTTCATGACAGACCGGGAACGGCTGGAGGAGGTACGGCAGCGTGAGCTGCAACGGCAGGAGCTCCTCATGCAGAAGCGGCTGGCAATGGAGTCCAACAAGATCCTCCAGGAGCAGCAGGAGATGGAGCGCCAGTGAGTGGCCTGCTGCTGGGGACCCCTGCCCACATCGCAGACCAAGCACACTGGACTTCTGCCTGCTGTCCTGGGCTAGCTGCATTCTTTCTGTTCTGCCCTCGGGGGCAGACTAGGGCATCCATCCCGTTCCTCAGACAGCCTGGCTCCTTGCTAAAGACACCTGATTTTCAGACACTGGTACTACACAAGAGAGGCTCCTGCTAGCCATTGTGAGCACGCACCATGCCCTTCTGTCTTGTTCTGTTCAGGACTTTATGTTCCTAGGTTAGCTCCCATGATATCCCTGGGAGGTGGATGGCATCAGTCTATTAGATAGGAAGAAGGCTGAGCTTGGTGAGGTGAAGTCACCTGTGTCCAGAGTCGTAAGTGGCCAGGCTGGGATGCTCATCCATCCATCCAGTCTGGGTCAGGAGCTGGCAGTGCCCACAGGGACACCTACCTGTTGTGATAAGCCCCACCTCTGCGTGTTTGAAACAGTGGGCTGAGAAAATCAATGGGGTAGGCAACTCATAAATCAAAACCACCGTCAAAATGCCAACTCCGATACGTTTTGGGTGCTCACTAAGTATTTAGAAAAGGGAGGAGAGGGCAACTCCGTCTCCTCCATCACAGAATCAGCCTGGTGAGCAGTGCCTGCTTTACCTTTGGGTGGGAGTTCATCCTCCTGTGGACCTGCCACCCGCTCCGTGGCACAGATGAAATACCCCAGGGCACAGACTCCACACCTGACACTGTCACTGACACCCTCGGAAGAGCAGCGGCAGAAAACAGTTAAAATGCCTCTCAGATCAGAGGTCAGCCACAAGCAGCGCTAACTCTCCGGGCATACACTCACACGGGCCAATCTCTGTCTGTTTCAGGAGGAGAAAGGAAATCGCCCAGAAGGCCGCTGAGGAAAACGAGAGATACCGGAAGGAGATGGAGGAGTGAGTGTTGGGGTCCATCCCGAGCGCCCGTGGCTGCACGGCCTAAGCCCAGCTAATGAGAAACATAGACACATCTGTGTGGTTCCACGACATCGGAACTGACTGAATCACAGGAAATCCACAACCTCATTGACTTCATCGGCTCAAATGTACCAGACAGTTCCAATTTCCCTCTTTTGTGCCAGCCTTAGTTACTGTCCTTACAGCTGCGTCACAAACTACACTTCACACGGTGTCACATGAGCACAGGTGGGAATTGCCAGGCTGTCCGTCCCCGGAGGTGTGTATCAGTCACTTGATACACACTGGATGGTCAGATGACCAGTCAGTGGGACGTCACCATTACAACATCAGGTGTCCTTCTCTTTGTGGGGTCCAGGTTGGGGACCTCCACTAGTCTAGTGTGTTGGGTAAGTTTCAGGGTTTGTTTTTCTGATGGTTTTCATACACCCATGTACCCACATGTTCCCAGCCTACTTTGGTAAGTTTATAGGCGGTACCTCTCTACTCTTAGGAGTGAGCTATCATGGGTGCTCCTAGGCACGTGGTAGTGTCTGCGTGTACAAACACCTCACAGTCATCCCACCTCTGCATTTTTACTCAAAACAGAGACAAATGCTGCTTTGTGTGATGGAGTCACTCACATCAAGGCACGGCCTGAAACTATCGGTCCAGAATAGCGTTACAGGGCCCAGCCTGCCCTCAGGAGCGTGGCAAGCTGCCTGCAGACCTGGCCAACTCCGCTCCGAATCCTCTCTTCCTGCAACCCCTCCTTAATTCTCACCAAGTCTTTTACCTCAGTGCAACCAGAGTGCATCACTGAGTTTAGACACACACCCCCCCCCAACACTGCAGGGTGGTCCTAGCTTGAGCTGTGACCGGTCAGGGTCCTCCATCAGCAACGGGTGAGCCTTTGAAGGTCCGGCCCCCAGCCACAGGTGTGGGGGTCTCATTTCAGGATCGTGGAGGAGGAAGAGAAGTTTAAGAAGCAGTGGGAAGAGGACTGGGGCTCGAAGGAACAGCTCATCCTGCCGAAAACCGTCAGCGCAGAGGTGCATCCGGTGCCCCTCCGCAAGCCCAAGTGTACGTAGAACCTGCCCGGGACGGGATGGCGCCCTTCCAGGGCCTCAGGTCAGGGGGGCTAGACAGAAATACGATCTTCCCCCACTAATCAGCACCTCCCCAGGTGACTACCCCAGGGCTGTCTGGGCTGTATTTCACTCAGGGAGAGGCAGTGTGTGTCGGGGGACCGTCAGCTGGAGCCTCAGGGTCGGAGGGATCTGCTCACCTCCTTGTCAGGGGTCTAGTTCATGTACTGGCTCCCACATCGTATCCAACGACACAGATGCAGCGGATGTTTGGGATGCTGTAGAGATCTTGGCAGGTGTGGAACTGGCTTCTAGGGTGACTACCCGAGCTTGTTGAATGTTGTGCTGTCTTCTGGCCTGCTTCTGAACTGGGGCTATGTTGAAACCAGCACAGAGAAAGAGAGGGTAGATCTATGGTGGTCCAAGGTTGCCAGGCAACTGGGGGAGCAGCTGGTCAAAGTGCCCCATCACCCACATTCCTGAGTGTGGGCAGCTGTCCTGCCACTAGCATGGTGAGGACGGAGGCAGAGAGAGGAGCATGAGACACCACCCCTCCATGTACTGCTGGAGTCTGGGTGTGTGTGCGCCATGTAAGCTCCCCTGCTCTTCCCATCCCCCCTTTACCAGCAGCGTGTTCCTCCCCCACTTTCAGCCCAGGCCTCCATCAGAAGCTCCCCATCTACCTGTTCTCCACCCCATCTTCCAGAATGTCTCAGGAGCTCATGGAGGAGAGGGACTCTAAGCAGTGTGGGTCATGGCCATCACTAGTCCCCATTCCTGGCTGAGTGTTCACTCTATCTTTCTATCTGTGATTGACACGGGCAGGTCCTCCTAACCTTATTGTCTGCACAAGGCCTGGACTGTGGAAACCTCCAGATGGGAGTATCCCTGGACCCCAGAACCAAGGCTCCTCATTGCTGTGGGGTCTAGTTAACTCACCCAATTTGAGATCCCACCTGGCCCTACAAGGAAACCCCCTTGCCAACACCAGAACAGTGGTGCAGGACTTCTAGATTCTTCCATTTCACTGTTCTCTGGTGCGTCCCTTCCTGGCAGCAGGACACAGGTGTCATCTCTCAGGGACGACAGAGCGTCTCTCATCAGCCTCCCACATGCTAGTCCGTATTTGCTGAGGATGTGGCCTGAGATAAATTCCCAGTGAGTGATCCGTATTTTATACAGGAGCTAATTTGCCCTTGTGAGTGAAATAGGAGCTTCAGAAGGCGAGAAATCGATTTTAATTGCTTCTGTGAAAGTAATCCGAGTCGGTGTGGTACCTTCTAGAAACTGGGTCTCCACTCCACGGAGAGCACGCCCTCTCAGGGATTATGGAAAATAAAAGCCCTTTCACAAGCTAGGTATTTATTTAATGCTTTTTAACCAAATTAAATTTCCTGAATAAAAGGAACAAGAGTTTCCCTTTACTCGGGCTACACTATCCTGAGGCAGTACACAAGCTCGGATTGATGACCGAGCCCGCGGCCCACCCGGGGCAGCAGGTGCAGCCGTTCATCCCCACAGTGCAGGCATCAGCCCTGTGTCTGTTCCTTCTCTTGCTGCTGTGACCAAAACAGTTTAAGGAAGGAGCAGTTTGCTTAGGCTCACTTTGAAGATACAGTCCATCATGTCAGGGAAGTCATGGCAACCAGCGTAGGAGGCAGCTGGTCACATCATGTCCATAGTCAAGAGACACACACACACACACCACACCACACACACACATCACATACCACACACATCACACACACACCACACACACACCACACACACACCACACCACACCATACACACATCACATACCACACACATCACACCACACCATACACACACATCACATACCACACACATCACATACACACACCTCACACACACACCACACCACACCATACACACACATCACATACCACACACATCACACACACATCACATACACACACCTCACACACCACATGCATACCACACACACACACACACACATACACCACACCACACCATACAGTGGAATAAGCTAAAATCTATTCTTGAATTTTTTTGATTTATAATACCTGTCTTTGAAGTTCTATCTTTACGTATCAGCAAACACACACACACACACACACACACACACACACACACACACACGGGGTGGGGTAGAGGCTGGTGCTCAGCTCACTTGTTCCTTTTTATTCAGTCTGGTACCCCAGCCCATAGGATGGTGCTCCCCACATTAGGCTGGGTTTTCCCACCTCTATTAACCCAATCTAGAAACTCCCACACAGACGCACCCAGGCGGGGCTTTGCCTCCCAGGTGGCTCTAGAGCTTGTCAGACTGGCAGCATTTGTGGCTGTAGCTTGCCAGGGCTGGTTTTCTGGGAAGCTCCACTCCGTTTCCCCCCTACCCCCTCCACAGAAGGCCGCAGAGGTAAGGGAAGGCTGCATGCCAGCCTCTCCGTGACCACCCTTCAGTCTGGACCCAGGTAGCCAGCAGGTAGACCTGACGCAGGTTTCTGTGCCTGTGAGGCGTGGACTCTGCCTTTTTGAGCAGCCCAGAGAAGAGCTGCATGGGCAGCTCTCGAACCCCTGATCCCTCGTGGGACTCAGAGAGCTGCCTCAGCCTCCTTCCCATGGCTGACCAGCCACACCCAACACTGCCCAGCTCTCAGAGCTAGGACACACCATCACAGACGCTGAACAGCCCGCTCTAGAGTGTGAAAGAGGAGAATTCTTTACCAAGGACCCTTCCCCTTAGCCGGATGATGAGGGGCTTGAGTGAGACATCGCTAACCCCCTCTTCCTCAAGGATACCCCTCAATTATCGCCCACCCAACAGACCCATGTTTTGAAAGTTGGTGGGAGTTTTCTATCAAACTAAGGAGTCCTTTGTGTCCTTATTGTCTTCCTAAGATCAGTGTTCCACTGTCCAGCGAAAGTGACTGGAGCTGAACACGCAGCCCCTGAGAAAGGAGACCTTAGGAAACATTGAAACAAAGTTCACAAGCGGGCTGCTGTACTTCCTGCTGGGGTTCCAGGGAGGCCAGGCCATATCCTATTATCCTAACAGCATCTGCCCTGTGTGTGCATCCTCCTTAGGAGACCCTTCATCTGCTGCCCACATAGCTCAGATAACGCCCTAGGGGATGCAGAGCCCTAAGACAAGGGTAGTGAGAAGATCTATTCTCCCATGAAAAGCTCCTCTCTTCAGACAGATAATACTCAGATAAAGCCAGCCCTCTCCCTGCACCTCCAGCTTTCAACTCTGTGCCCTGCAAAATGGTCCCCATGCTGATGTCAGGTCAGAGGTCCCAACTGTTAACCCATTTTACAGACAGAAGAGTTAAAGCTACTGAGGTTGAGAGCACTGTGTGAGCAAGAAAGCTGAGCTGGAGGCTCTTTGAGCCCTGCTGCTGCCCCAGATCCCACAGCTTCCTGAGACATTCGTCACGGGTTCCTGGGCTCCTAGACATCTCTTCTTGTGAACCCTCTTGGTTCATCGGCTTGTCCTTCTTTTCCCCTGGGTAGATGGTCAGGGAGTGGAGGCCAAGATGGAGCCTGCAGACCACCTGGACGGAAGCATGGAGGAGCAGGGACAGCAGGTTGGCGCCCATGCTCCGCTCCCTGGCTTGCGCTGCCCTGCTCGCTCTGCCCGCCTCCTTCAGACATGGTGGAAACAGCAGCTCCAAAGAGCAGCACCGTGATGGGAACCACTGGGGTCTGTGAGGATGCTCTAGGTCTCTGCTCGTCCCGTGCCCTGAGTACCAAACTTTAGGGACAAGATTCATGGCTAGGCTGAAAACTTATCCGCCACTTGCCAGTCCAGCCCAGCCACTGGCTCAAATATTTAAATACTGCCCCCCAAGAGCCCCACTTCTCTGACCTCTCCCATACGACTCCTTAGACCCCTCCCACATCAGACACTAAGCTGATGTGCCTGATCCGAGCATGGCACACCCATGACAGCCTTGAGGGCTCAGGTCTAGGGTACTGACCCACTGTGTGGTTGCCTGGGCAAGGAGACTGCGCCTTGTTCATCTGGTCTGGGTAGGGGATCTCCTTTCTGGAAGCTTATCTCCTGCTTATTGTCACCACAGCTGCCCTTCAGAGCCTTCCAAAATGACCGCCTTTCTCGGTGTTTAGAGAGGGGCTGAGAGCTGTGCTGTGAGACACGTTGGTTCTGTCTGGAGCAGTTCCAGGCCCAGGCTCAGCTGCCTTTTGTGTGAAGCCATTTCTTAGCCATGGGGACCAGGCCTCAGCTCGGGGGAGTGCTTTTCTGTCTTTCCCTGGGGCTTTGTGTTTGCAGCCGCGCCTGTGACCGAGAAAGCATGTCTTTCCACAAGGACTATCTTGCTGGTTTTCTGGCATGAACTTCTGAAGCCAGTGTTCTGGGGATGGTGACCTGGAGCCTGGGAATCAGGGCAGTACTCAGGCGATCTCCAGCCTGCTTTGCCCCAGATCCCTCATCAGGTGAGGGAAAAGTGGGCCAGAGAGCATGGTTTTGCTGTTGGATTTCACAAAGCCACCCGTTCCTTGGGAGCCCACCTCCCAACTGTTGTCCACGGATGCTGTGTTTCATCCTTTGTTCTCTGTCCTTGTAGCCTTTGGGTGGTTTTACCGTTACGATGGCAAATTCCCGACCATCCGGAAGGTAGGATGGGCCTGAGCAAGGTGCCGTGTGCTGCCAAGTTTCGTGTGAGCTGTGGTCTTTTCCCAATACTTCTTTTCCCCGTTCACTTGCTAAGCTGACCCTTGGATCGCTGTCTGTCTGATATCTGGCAGAGACGCCGTGGTAGAGGTGCCATGGGAGGGAAGCTGGCATTCCTAGTATCAGACTTGCCTAAGCCCTGAGTGGCTCTGATGGGCTTGGGCGGGAACAACTTCAGACTTGCTATGCCAAGCAAGACCAGAGCCATGACCAGAAGCCTGGGCTGGGCGGGGTGAAAATGCCAGGGTGGGTGACATAAAGCAGTTCATGACGACCCTGCCAGATGCAGCTTGTGTGGAATTTGGCACCCCAGCCTGGGAAAAACAGCCATATTAATTCCAACTATTCCCTAGACCTATCTCTGCCCGGGTCTAGGATTATGTATCTTTCCATTCTCTGAGACCTTTAATTTTCTATCTAAATCTTATTACACTATCTCCAGGCCCCATAAAACTCTCATCTTTTGTCTTACTAAATTTCATCAACATTTGATTATGAAAATGCCACGGTTAATATCTGTACTGTATATTAGACATTCAAGATGGCTTGGTATTTAGAAATCAGGCTGCTGGCATACATCTGAGTGAATTCAAAGGTATGACATCACTCAACCAGCTCAGCTCTTTAGCAAGGTCCCTTGGAAGCAAAGCTGTGGCAGCTCATGAGCTTAGGGCACTGCCCAGCACACCCCGTTACACAACAGCCGTGGTATTCCTGACACAGGTGTGCGTTTTTACCTGGGATCCCAGCTTTGCACAGCAGGGAACAGGCTTAGGCTACAGCTCCTGAGGACTCCTTCCCACCCTGCTCAGTCTCAGAAAGTGTGTGGTCTCCTAGATTCAGCCTGTGCCCTCCACGCCACAGGCTGAATCCATGAAGTCCTGTCCACCCTTTCGACATTGTGACATGACATTGTCATCCACAAAATTCACATACACTCAAGTTACAGAAGCCTTGCAAGAATAATCTCATGTTGTTTTAAGTGAGCCTGTGGTTTTGTACTGGCCGTAGCTCTCCTCACTGCAAGCTGGAGGCTGGACATGTCTGGGGGAATCTCATTGAGTTAGACTGCTAATTGTTCCCTTTATAGTCTCTATTAGAACTTGGCTAAAGAGAACAGCAGATACAGTACAAATGTGCGTGCACACACACACACACACATATACACACACACACATGCATACATAGATTACACATGTGTGTGCACACATATACACACACCACGCATATACACATACATATGTAGATTTTACTGGGAAAAAAACAGAGCACATGTGTTCTCCAAACACTAATAGCTATGGAAATGGAAATGAGCTGGAATGTTCTACACACATGAATCATGTCACTTCAAAGTTGCTCGCAGTAAAGGGTCAGGCTAGATTCCCCAGAATCAGAATGTCCACTGTCATTCCAGAACAGCTGGTATTTTGGTTTCTGTTTTCATTTCCCAGAGAGAACAGTTGTTGGTAGATAAATGGAAATGGATATTTGCCGTGAATATCACTGACAGTTAGAGAGACAACACAAACATATCCCTCACACCAGCTCTGAAAACCCGTCATCACTTTGTCCAGAGCCACCAGAGAGGCCTTGTTTCCTGGCAGCTGGAGCCAAGGAATATAAGGGGGTATCCACAGCCATGAGCATCGGTAGTCAAGAGCCCCTTGTCTGAAAGGGGATTTCGTGTCTCCTATTCCTACGCTGGCAATAAGTCCTCTCAGCTCAAGGCCACCAGTTCATGTGGCCCCAGTCAATGTGGGGTCTGGAGGAGTTAGGGTGCCATCCAGGACCCTTCACAAGAACTGTGTGAGTGAATTGAGGCTGGGGAGATGGCTCAGTAGGTAAAGCACTTTCTTCTCAAGTGTAAGGACCTGAGTTCAGATCCCAGAACCCACATAAAACCCTGGGTGTGGTAGCAGGCACCTGTCATCTCAGAGATGGCTAGATGGGGAAGAGGCAGGCAGGTCCCTAGAGACTCGCAGGCCTTTGTTGTGACGTTCCAATCCAATGACAAGGCCTGTCTTAGACACAAGGTGGAAGGCTCCTAAAGACTGCTACCTAAGGCTGTCCTCTGCCCTCCACACATGTGTGCTATAACAACATGTGCATTCCCTGCACACACACACACACACACACACACACACACACACACACACACACACACACACACACACACCGAGGAACTGCTTTAGTAAACCATGCATGGCCTGATGTGCAGGAGCGCCCAACCTGGCAGGGAAGGCAGACTTGTGGGCATCTAAGTTATCTGTACAGGGATGGAGGAGCTCCCTGGCAGTGCTCTGTGATGGTTTGCCCATCTGCATCTGTCAGTGGATGCTGTTGCTGAGGCTGGGACAGGAGCTATCTCCTGCCCCTGCCCTTCTCAGGAGCCCACTCTGGCTGTGAAATCGTGACTTTGCTCTAGGTTTTGTTTGGGTTTCTAACCAATAGAATGCCCATTCCTGTCATGGTGGCCCCTGAGGAGACCGTGACCTATTTCTAGCCAGCTGCCACTAAGTAGAACATTTTTGGCTCCCTTTGAGGATTGCTGTCTGAACCCACAAAATGATGTGGGGTTCACCTCTGAGCTGAGCTAGGGGTCTGGTGAGCAGGGTAGGTCATGGGCCAAGCAGAATCGAAGTAAGGAGAAGCATCTCCTTGGGATGCTGTGGACTGCTCTGGAGGCAGGTCCCAGAGGCAAGCATTTCCAAAGCATATTAGTTGTTCTCGGAGAGAGGGTTGTCTTTAGTGAGGGCAAGATGAGCCCATCAGAGGTCCATAGAAACCCCCTAGCCTCAGCTGACATGAAAGGTTCGCATCTGTTTCGGGGAAGTTCAGTTCTGGGCCTTGGACTCTAAGCTGACTTAGAGCAGAAACTCAGAGGCACAGTTATTCTGGAAATTGCCCGGAGTCTGGCTTTCTCCACACCTTCTTCTGAGTGCTGACTGCTGTGTGATGGGAGTGATCTCCCACCTGCATGTCCCTCTGCCCCAGAATGTCTGAGCACAGTGGAAGACCAGGACCTGGAGAACTCAGGTCTGAGCCTGGCTCCCTCACTTCCTAGATGTCTGACTTTGGGCAAGGGACTTGACCTCTCTGAGCTTGTGGCTTCCTCCTGACCCGGCATCTCCCGGCCCTGGAGTCTCCAGAGAATCCTCAGTTGAAGACAGTTTAGAGGGAACCCTGGCTTTGGATGCTCTGGGCCATTCTGTGAAGAGCTTACAGATCGACAGAACCCAGAGTTCCTGGCTTAGGGCCCACATCTAGACCAGGCCGGATGACCTCTGGACAGCAGGTTGACTGGTTCTCTCGGATTTTCTAATCTCCCAGAATGCATCTCTGGCATCTGAACAGGAGCCACCTCTGATGCTGGGGAAGGCAAGCACCCGGGTCCTAGGAAATAAATACGATGCCTTTTATTGAGCAGCCCTTTGAGGTTTACAAAGCCCTTTCATAGATGGTATTTCATGGGCACTGGCTAGAAGCCTGTAGGGGGACAGCTGTTTCCCCTGCTTTAAAGATGGAATGAGGCCAGGAGGCGGTGGCGCACGCCTTTAATCCCAGCACTCGGGAGGCAGAACCAGGAAGATCTCTGTGAGTTCGAGGCCAGCCTGGGCTACAGAGTGAGTTCCAGGAAAGGTGCAAAGCTACACAAAGAAACCCTGTCTCAAAAAACAAAAACAAAAACAAAAAAAGATGGGATGAGTCCAGGCCCAGAGAGGTTGCAGAACTTAGCCAAAAAGTCACACAGCTGGGTAGTGAACCAGTAAGCCAGTTCTGGCTGTTGGAGGGGTATGTCTCCCACTCTACAGTGGGCAGCAGTGGCCTGCCTGACCTCAGCCTAAGGTCCAGTGCCCTGTGTGGTAGGACAGAGCTTGGAGTGGGGCTCACTGAGGCAGGCTGCCTTGTCTTGTCTGCAAGCTGGATGCCCTGCTTGGCCTGGGCTAATGCCAATGCCACCTTATCACCCTTATCACACACATGATGCTCCATCTGCCCAGAAAGGAAAAGAGAAGAAGAAAGCCAAGTATGACAGCCTGCAGGACTTGAGGAAAAACAAGAAGGAACTGGAGTTTGAGCAAAAGCTGTACAAAGAGAAGGAAGAGATGCTGGAGAAGGAGAAACAGCTGAAGATCAACCGGCTGGCCCAGGAGGTGTGTGCACTGTCCCGGGTGTGTGCCTGTCCCGGTGTGTGCACTGTCCCGGGTGTGTGCACTGTCCCCGGTGTGTGCACTGTCCTGGGTGTGTGCACTGTCCCGGGTGTGTGCACTGTCCCGGGTGTGTGCACTGTCCTGGGTGTATGCACTGTCCCACTGTACTTCCAAGGGCCAGTTGGGATCTTTCTCCACAGACAGAGTGTAAAGACAGGCCCTTCCCTCCCAGTCCAGAGATTGTAACTGCCCCACCTACCCATAGTCATCCAGGCCAGCTCTAGGCTAGCTCTTAGGGTCTGGGTCTGAGGCTAGCTCTAGGCCAGCTTTTAGGGTCTGGGTCTGAGGCCAGCTCTAGGCCAGCTCTTAGGGTCTGGGTCTGAGGCTAGTTCTAGGCCAGCTCTTAGGGTCTGGGTCTGAGGCTAGCTCTAGGCCAGCTCTTAGGGTCTGGGTCTGAGGCTAGCCTCCATGCCCAGACTGGGTCCCAGGCTTGTCATTTACTTGAACCCACCAAGGTATAATTCCATGGCAAGGCCTCTTCTCCTTAGGTATAGAAGTGGAGCTGGTCTTCTGGCTCACAGTCTAGCTGAGGTTAGCCCCTCTGCCTCTCTTGAAAGTCTGGTTAGCCTTCCAGTCACATGTCTGCTCTCCCTACCAAGTCCACCAAGCTGCGTGGCTCTCGGTATACAGGGTCCAACCTTTTAGTGTAGAGGTCAAGTTTGAAATTATCTCCAGTAAGTCAGGCTTAGAGTCTGAGGCTGCTCCCATCAACACAGTGTGTCCGAGGCTAGACCTCTATAACCTGGGACTATACCTCAGACTAACCATGCCTATGGTACTCTCCCGGCACGAGAGGTTTCTGTGTCTTGAGTGAGGTGGTTGGCCTGAACTTCCTGACTGCAGGCAATAGTCTCTCTGCTACTCTTTAATGCTCCCATGAATCACAATGCCAGGCTGATTCGATTATAAAACCAGAGAAGTCCTGGGAAATGCGAAGTGTATTAGGTCTGGCACTAAGAATAGATTAGCATCAAAATGAAGAATAAGATTGAGCCTGCGTTTCTGAGGACAGAGCAGCCCTGCGGGGAAGCGAGAGTAAAGTTAAATCTGTAGAAGAGGTAAAGAGGATGTGAAAGAACTCCAGGAGCCTCGGGGTGATGTGGATCTCGGAAGCCAGCATCGTCAGGCAATGCAGGACCCCCTGCAGGTTTTGCTGTCCCCCTGACATCGCGGCCTCTACTTCCAACTTCTGTTCTCAGGTCCAGGTGGTGGAGGCCTGGTTCTTTTTCTAGATGCTGACATGCGGGTCTGTACTGGGGGGCGGGGGGAGTTAGAGCAGTGCCTCTGTGTGTTACTGCCCACGTGGCTCAGTGTACCCTTTGTCCCCTTCTTTGGACACTGGTCCCGGGTCCCAGGTGTCTGAGACTGAGCGGGAGGACTTTGAGGAATCGGAAAAGACTCAGTATTGGGTGGAGAGGCTCTGTCAGACCCGCCTCCAGCAGATTTCCTCTGCCGAGAATGAGATTGCTGAGGTAACAGAAGCTTCTTTTCGCATGGACCCTCCTTTAGAACAATGCACCCTGAGGACAGTGGGATGGCCGTTGGTGATCCTCACCACCCACACCAGTGTGCATTTCACTGCCTACAGCCCAGCCCCGACGGCTCCCACCACCTCCTGTCTGTGTTTGTGAATGTATCTTCTGAGTAACAGGTCCCTTGTGTTCTGAGACAGCCCCCAGTGGTCCTGTCGTCCCTGCTGTAGCCCCGAGGCTCCCCTGCATGCTCAAATGTGTCCCACTCTAGAGGGTAAACTGTCTAATCATGCCCAGGTGGCAGAGCTTGGGCCACCCCTTGGCCGGGGAGCTGGGTGGCAGCACCCACTGTTCTGGTCTGAGTGACGGGGCTCTGGCAGCAAAAGGAACAGATCAGAACGTTGTTGTTGTTGGTCTGCTGTGGAGTTGATAGTGACAGAGCCTCTTCACCCCCAGATGACCACAGGGCCCCCACCTCCCCCACCTTCTGTGTCTCCTCTGGCCCCACCCTTGAGACGCTTCGCCGGTGGGCTCCACCTCCACACCACTGACTTGGATGACATCCCTCTGGACATGTTCTACTATCCTCCCAAGACTCCCTCGGCCTTGCCTGTGATGCCCCACCCTCCACCCATCAACCCACCTGCCAAGGTCCCTGCCCCTCCTGTCCTTCCCTCACCAGGCCACATGAGCGCCTCGTCCTCACCTTGGGTGCAGCGCACTCCACCCCCGATCCCCATTCCTCCCCCTCCATCCATTCCCACTCAAGACCTCACTCCTACTCGCCCACTGCCCTCAGCACTAGAAGAGGCCTTGGGCAACCACCCCTTCCGCACTGGGGACCCAGGCCACCCAGCCGCCGACTGGGAGGCAAGCACCCACAGTGGGAAGCCCACCAGCTCCCCCAGCCCTGAGCGGAGCTTCCCACCCACCCCAAAGGTACCACCTCCTTCCGCATGTGGTGCTTGCGAGCCAAGTGGGGTGTGGGTGCTGTCTCCTGAGCCCTCCGCTGCTCCAGTGAGTGGGGACGGGAGGAAACATCATCTCTCCCCACTTCCCAGGTGTGGTGTCCTGCCCTGCATGGGTGTGCTTTCTACGGGTGTTGAAGTCCTGTGTTGACGTGGTGAATTGCTGTGACCGTGAAATGAGCAGCAGTGTGTCGGCTCAGTGTCACTGTCCTCTTAGCTCCTGAGCTAGTGAAGGCTGGTGCCCTGCAGTGTGGGTCTTTCTGGTTGTGTGGATGAATAGCCAACTGTATCGTTACAGTAAGTGAGAAAGCCTCCTAAGTGAACCCCTGCTTTAGCAGGGGAAGGGGACATGGGGGAGAGCTGAGGGGGTTACCTAGCTCTGAGAATAAAAAGATAACTACCCAGGGTAGTGTTAGGACATCACAGCATCCTTTTCCATAGCACTAGTCAGTGACACTGCCTTGGTGTGTGATACTCAGACAGTCTGGCCACCGCCCAAAAACGCTGAAGATGAGAGAGTTCTTAGAAATTCTCAAATTTACTATTAAAAGATGAGGAATGTTTTTCTTGGATGTTGAGAGATTGAGCGCTGGTATTTTCAGAAAGATATATTTCCCATCGCTTGATCTTCAGCCAAAGACTCCTTTAGAAGAACTAATCCCTGAGGACCATGTGAGACTTTGATCCTAGTAGCTCATGGCCAGGCTCGTGACTCAGCAGAGGAGGCTTCTGTCCGCTGGGGTGAGATGTTGGAGGTGGTGGGCAGTACCCCAACAATGGCTTCCATCAGCCCCTACTCAGGTTCCCAAAGGGAGAGTGGATTTCGTACTCCGATCATTCAGGGGAGTTGGCGATGTCAGGTTCCTGATGCTGACTGGCTGGCAGTTCCCGCCTGGAGGATCGCAGGGGGGCTGGAATTCTGGGGTCCTCTGATGAGGAACTTGATTCCTGCAGCTCAGATAGGGAGACAGGTGTTTCCTCACTCTGGGAACATCTCTCCAGAGTCAAAGCAGCCATCAGGTTTAGGGGACTGTGTTAGTCTGGCATGAAGATCCCATCCTTCTCTGTGAGTGACCCCCAAAGGGTGGGCAGTCGCTTTTCCTTAACAAATCTGATTCCGAGATCGAGCACCAGGTTCATGCCATGTGCCTGTTGGTGTAAGAAGTGGATAGGGCAGAGCTCAGGAAGGTGCCATGAGGCTGGCACAGCCACCTTCCAGGAATTTGTCATTGGAAGGGAGAGCAGCTACAGATCCAGGCTGGTCTCTAAGCTAGCACAGCTAAGTGCTCCATCTGGGAATACCTCTGCCTCACTGGGGCATCAGAGCAGCAAGGAACGCAAGGGTGGCAGAGAGACCATGATGAGTCAGACCTTGTAGTCTGGAATCTTGATCTGCCGTTCCCTGGCTCAACTACTTCGGGGACCTGTTACTCCTTGTAGGTGAGCTTGGGCATCCTGGTCTGTAAAACAGGAATGAAAGTGGCGCCCACCTACTTCGAGAACTAGACAAGTCAATACATAGAGGGAGGGGGCAACATGATGGATCAAAGGTGTAATCTCAGTACTGCAGAGGCTGAGACAGGAGGATCACCGAATTTGAGGACAACCTGAGCTACACATGAATTTCAGAACAGCCTGGGTTACAGAGTGAGACACCCAAACAAAACAAAAACCTTACAAATAACCATAAAAATAAACAGGGTCTCATGTTGCCCAGGCTGGCCTTGAACTCATTATGTAGCCAGAGATAACCTTAAACCTCTACTATACCTGCTTCTGTAGTTCTGGGTTTGCAGGCACGTGATACCTGCCTGCTGGGGACTGAGCCTGGGGCTTTGTGGGTACCAAGCAGGCACTCTACCAGCCGAGCTACATCTGCATGAAGGCGTTCTGAGTTCATACTTAAAAGAGCAGCAGGTTCATGGTCAGTACTCAGCAGACAATAAGTATTGCTGTTAAGAGTTCCTAGTCCAAGTAAATTAGAATGGAGTAATTTAGAACAAAACCATGAATGGAGATCATCTCAGCAAACACTCTGTCAAGATTCAAGACAGGTTCCACTCTCTAACTTTCCAAGGACTCTTGATCAGAGCAAAGGGAAAGTTCAGGTCCCCACACAAGGAACCTTAAAGGACTGGACCATGAATATCTCAAGTGACAGGAATCGCAGAGCTGTCCTTGACTCAAAGCTGCTCCATCACGCTGGCCTTCATCTCATCTAGCTAGTCCTCCACCTGTGTGTCCCTTGCGGGTTTTCAATGTGTGGTGACAGCATGTCTGCATAGTCATCCCACCCATTAGCAGGCTCAGGTAGTAGACACAGGGGTTGTGTGTGCCTGACATCCCAGCTCCTGCAGGAGAGAGGCTTCAGGCATGTGTGTATGCCCAGGAGAGGGGAGGGGAGGAGGGGAGAGCAGAGGAGAGGGGAGGAGGGGAGAGCAGAACCATGTGTGTATGCCCAGGAGAGGAGAGGGGAGGAGGGGAGAGCAGAGGAGAGGGGAGGAGGGGAGGGGAGGGGAGGGGAGGGGAGGAGTTGAGTTATTCGTATATTCAGTCAACACATATTTGTGAAGCACCTGCCATATGCTGGACACTCTGCTAGGCACTGGGAGCCACCATTAGACAGGCAGCTGTAGTCCCTGCCCAGGACAGTCTAGTAGAAACAGGGTAGGGGGAGGACCCACGGGTGTCTGGGGTCAGTGGGACAGGGGAGGAGAAATCTGAGGACGGCAGTCATTTCCATGCGACAAAAGCTGGCAGAGCAGAGGAGCAAAGGCTTTGAGGCAGGATAGCAGCAGATCCTGACGTCTTCGAGGCTGAAGTTGGGCAGTGGGAGGAGTCTGGGGAGGGGACAGTGGGGAGACAAGAAAGGAAAGTAGGGAACTGGCGAGATGGCTCAACGTTTAAGAGCACTGCCTGCTCTTCCAGAGGACCGGGGTTCAATTCCCAGCACCCACACGGTGGCTCACAACTATCCGTGACTCCAGCTCCAGGAGATCTGATACCCTCACACAGACATACATGCAGGCAAGACACCAATGCACATAAAATAAAAATAAATCTTTAAAAAGAAAAAGGGAAGGTAGTCAGGCCAGGGGAGATGTTGACTCTCTCTGGGGACCCGTCAAAGGGTTTGGAGACAGGGCTGTGCCTTGATGAGAGATGTTTTACTGAGTGATCGATCACGTGGTTAGAACAAGTATTGTCAGTCCCAGAATGGTCTGTCTCTGCCCTGTCCTCGCCCCGGGCCTTTTGGATACTGTGCCTAGACCCTGGGGACCACAGCTGCCTCTCGTCACTCCACAGGGACTTGAACACTGCCAGAGGAGAGAGCCTTTGAAGGAAGGGAGTGTTGGGTGGCCAGTGTGAGGGAGCCTTGAAAGTGTGCCCTCTGAGTGACAGTGGCTTATTCTCAGAGCCACTCAGCCACACCGAGGCAGTGGCATTCTGTTTGTGAGAAGAGCCTACCCCAGACCTCTGTCAGGGCGGCTGAATCCGGCTGGCTGGGTGCATGGAGTGGTTTGCATGTTTGTGGAAGTATCACGGCTGTCCCTGGCCACGTTCACCGTGACTTCACATGGGTCTCTCTTAAACTAACCCCTCTAGACATTCTGCCCAAGCCCACAGCCTCCACGAGGCCCTGGCGTGTCCACCATCTCCAAACCTGTCATGGTCCACCAGGAACCCAACTTCATCTACAGGCCAGCTGTGAAATCTGAGGTCCTGGTAAGACCTTTAGCACCCCCCCCACCCCACCTGGGGGTATTTCTAGAGCAGCAAGCCGGTATCCTCTTGCCTGGGTTTTGACACCTATGGAAGGGAAGTGAGATATGACACAAAGTCAGATCAAATGCCATCTTGTCACCTTCTTGCTCAAGAGATGAATTCGCATGATATGCAGTGGGCCTGGACCCGTCCAGTAGAATTCCTGTTCTCTGACTACATGGCCTGCAGCTCCATCTTTACGACAGTGTTGAGTCTGGGGAGATGGCTGAGCTGGGGCAGTGGTTACTGTGTGAGCACGAGGACCTGAGTTCAAGCCCCAGAATCCACACTTTTGAAAACACTGGACATGGTGATGTAATCCCAGCATAGAGGAGACAGAGACAGGCGGGTCCTTGGGCCTTGCTGGTGGGTTCCAGGTCACTGAGAGACCCTGTCTCAAAAGAGAAGGTGGGTGGCATCTGAAGAGTGACACCTGAGGTTGTCCTTTGACCTCCACGTACATGTACACGCATGTGCATACACGTGCACCCATATGTGCATACACACACAAACCACCGTGAACACAATTCACAGTGTTAATACTCAAGACTCAGGAGGCTGCCGTGTGTCAGGCTCTGTGCGGCCTCAGAAGGTGGCCCCCATCATCCCTGTTCACAGCTGAGGAGCTGGGTGGAGAGGTGTTGTTTGTCCCTGGCACATCCTGGACCCCCACCCCCACCCCCAGTCTCTGGAACGCCAAAGCCATGATCTTACCGTTACTACCAGAGCCTAAGAGATGGCGTTGGACTTGACCTGCGTGTGAGGCCTGTCTGGCCAAGAGAATGGCCAAAGCAGATGCTTCTCAATCCTCACTAGGACCAGGTCCTGGGTGTGGCCCTAGGAGCTGGGGCTCACAGGCACCCCACAGGGATCCAACCTCTGACTGGCCTCCCACAGTGGGAGCTCAGCCATGGCAGAACTTTATTCCCCTCAAGGAAACCCTACCCAAATGTCAGGGCGGGGCACTCCAGTTCTAATTTTGAGCTTTAGCTGGCCTGTCGGCTCCCCCAAAGGGCAAAGGTCGTGCTCTGGGTCAGCCTGCTGAGTCCACTTGTGTTGTCCGGTTCATAATGAGGGGTGTCTGCTCAGCTTCACAGCAGCTGCTGCCTGGGAGGCCTGGCGTGCGCCCCTCACATAAGTCTATCGGGGAGGAACCAGGTAGACTCAGGCTGGCAGCCCCAGGGCCTGGCACCAGGGGGCAGACCATGCCTGTGTTTAACATCCTGGGGGGAACTGTCTTTTATTCCTGGCAGCCGCAGGAGATGCTGAAGAGGATGGTGGTGTATCAGACAGCTTTCAGACAAGTACAACGACACCCATGGTAGTCGTGTGTCTCGTAGTCGTGTGTCTCTGGTCCTCCCCCACTGCCTCACTCTGCCTGACTCCTCCTCCTCCACGCCAGTGCCTGGCGGTTTCAAGGTACCCCAAGTACCACCTGCTGGGAAGCCTCAGGACAGCGCTGGGTCGTTTCCCTCCCCGCCCACCACACCCCCAAAAGGGGACCCGCGGCTTTCCAGAGCATAAGCACTGACTGAGAAGGCCGCCAGCAGAATGGCCACTCTTACCCTCCGGGGGTCCAAAGAGGAAGTCGGACAGAGGGAACCCCGGAGGCCAAGAGAGAAGGGAGGGGTCGGGGTGGGGCATCTGGCTACCTCCTTGCTCCTTTAGTCTGGACTTGCTCCAAGCAGATCACAGTTTCTCTTAGCCACAGGAGGTGGTGGCCTCTTGGCACCTCTCTTTGTCTGGGGTTCACAGGGACTTGGAAGTCCTTGCTGGCATCTGAGTTGGGTCAGACATGATAGCCATCTAGCTACCCTACATCCTGGGGCTTCCATCCAGGGCCCCAGGGTTGGATTGACAGTTTCAGCACCAATGAAAGAGACCCCCCCAAATCAAAGGTGACCTGGCTAGCAGTCTCTCCACCCCCACACACGCTGATTTGATAGGCAGAGAATAGAAGTGTGGGGGTGGGGGCTTAGTCAGCGTCTGTAAGAGGCTGCTGACAGCCCAGGACTGAGATGGACAGGAGACAGCGCACCGTTAGAAGGTGCGCTGTGCCCAGCCCTGCTTCTAAGTTCATCAGGGGTCTTAACTCGGTCTGCACAGCAGCCGGGGCCAGAGGAGTGCTATTGTCTTCCCCATGTCACGGAAGTGCAGCTGAAGCAGGGAGCGGACCCCCTGCTAGAGTCAGACCCTGGGTTAGATCAAGGACATCGGTTCTGTGATCTGCGCTCAAGGCACTGGCCTTGCCCAGCAGGCACTGAAGGGCCCACAGCAGAGACAGAAACAACCCTCAAAAGGAAAAGAGATCACTCGGGCATAGGGCTTCAAGCTTGCAGTTAAACCCGTGGCCTCCTCCTCTGACTCCTGACATTAATGTCACCTCTTCGGCTTCTGTTGCTCCATCTGCTGAACCAAGGGTGTACATCTCTTAAGGCAAACCAGCAGGAATGTTTTGTAAGTTTCAGAATTCACATAAGACCTGCCACCCAGCCGTCTCTAAGAACAGTACTCAGACTGTGGCCAGCATGGCCCAGCATTCCGGAAGGAACAGCCAGGGATAGATAGGGCCTTCTTGGCGGCAAGGGCACAGGTCCAGATTCTGCCTCGTAACCTCCCTGGTGCTTAGATGTGCTGTGACCCTTGTTCTGTGTGTTGTCTGACGTACAGAGACTGGCCTGGGTGTGGTCTCTGACCTTGGCCAGACAGATCCAAGGCCTCATTGGGGTTCAGCCCGAAAATAAAAGGCTAGGAAGATAGGGTGTGGCCAGACATCCAGGGACCCATCTGCTGAAGCTGGGCCCTCATCTTGTGCCCAGAGTTTCACAGCTGCAGTCTGGGCGGGGCAGGATCTCTGGCCTGCTCACGGGACTTGGTGAGGCCTAGGGAACAGTGTGGCCGCCTTTCCAGTGGGGACCGACTGTGGTTTTTGTGGTTCTAACTCAGGAATAACACCCCGGCTTCTGAGGCAGGTGGGTGCCCTAGCTTGGCTTACTGTGTGTGACTCCTGGGCCACTTACCCTGGCTTTGCCACCTCTCACCATGTTGTTTCCAAGTCCGGACCTTTCACCACAGCAACCCTGCTGAGCCAGGACCTCAGAGCTGGGCATCCTTTCCTCCACCACCACCCCATCTTACCTCCTGGATCAGCAAGGAGTGGCCAGACCCCCGCCCCCAAGCTCACCACCACCTCTCTTCTCCCGTTGGTATAGAGTGTCACTTGCCTTCCCCCGTGAGGTCAGAGCACTGAGTGGAGAAGCATGGCTTCACCCTTATGGCCTGGTCACAGCCTCCAGTGGGGACGTAGAAGGCCAGCTTGGGCCCAAAAAGTCTGCAGAATGAGGCTTTCTGTGAGTCAGGGACCAACTGCCTAGACGTCCAGATCCCAGTGGTATCCCTGAAGCCACAGACAGCCACCGTGGACCAGAGCAGAGGCAGGGCCACGCTCCTCCAAATGCTTCCTGCAGCTTCCTGCTCGCCCCGTCTGTTGTCACTGCCAACCTCCTCCCTCTACCCCCACCCCGACCACGCTGCACCCTGTCCCCTGCTCGCCGCTGGCCCCTGGAATCTGGCCCATGTGCCCCCTTTCCTTGCCTGTGGGAGCTTGCATTTGCCGTGTGCCTCCTCCATTGCCTCTTTCCTCCATCCTAAAGCCTCCCTTTGTTTCCAGGACTTCAGAAAATATGAAGAAGGCTTTGACCCCTACTCCATGGTAAGAGGGGGCTCTCCAGCTCGGGGAGCAGTCCCCAGGATGAGGAAGAATTAGAGCTTTATTCTGGACCTTGGGGGACACAAAGAGCCCCAACAAGGGCCCAGATGCTCTTTCCTGAAAAGGCTCCATTTAGACAGCTTTTCAGGGAGAACCGCGGTGTGTGTGTGTGTGTGTGTGTGTGCGCTGTGTGTATATATGTATACATGTGCACATGCATGTGTGTACTGTATGTATGTATGTGTACACACCCTCATGTGTACATGTTCACAAAGCTCTTTCTTCCATCACCCCAGTAAGCCTAGAACAGTGGGACTGGGCCTTGGGGCTGTGAGTACGTGTCTGTGTGTGTGTGTGTGTGTGTGTGTGTGTGTGTGTGTCCATGTCCATTGTCAAGGCCAGGGACACTCTCACCTTCATCAAGTCCCCACTCTGGTTTTCTGTCTCTAGTTCTCACCAGAGCAGATTGCGGGGAAGGATGTCCGGCTTCTGCGCATCAAGAAGGTACCTGGTCATGGGGTGGAGGCTGGTCATCAACCTTCTCTACCCCTGCCTTCTTGGTCCCCTGCTTATTCTACTCCTAGGTGACTCAGCAGGTTCCTGCTCCTCTCTCCACTCCTTGTGGGGCATACATGCTCCACAGGCCTGCTTTCTCCCGTGACTCTCCCGTGGCCTCTGCCCTGCATGGCCCCATGCCTGGGGCATACATGCTCCCAGGCCTGCTTTCTCCCGTGACTCTCCCGTGGCCTCTGCCCTGCATGGCCCCATGCCTCCTGCACGCTGTAGCCCTGGGAGAGACTTCCTGGTGCTCCACAGGCTTCTGTCTGTGTGGCCACCTAAGACCTGCTTTCCTCCACACAGGAGGGGTCTTTAGACTTGGCCTTGGAGGGTGGAGTGGACTCCCCCGTGGGGAAGGTGGTCGTCTCTGCTGTGTATGAAGGCGGAGCTGCTGAACGCCATGGTGAGTATGGACTGGCTTTGCCTGTTTGCGGGATGGTGTGATGGCTAGACCAGATGCCCCAGGAGAGCAGACATCTGCTGGCCTCACAGTTGTTCAAGAATGTCAGGTCCATCCAGGAAACCATCTAGCTAGTCTCAGACATTACCTGAGGCTGTGCCATGGTACAGACACGCCCAGATGCCACCCTGCCCTCTAGGGACCCAAGGCTAGTGGCAGAAATGGGCTCAGAATCACAGCTCCTTATAGTAGGGGGATCACCAGCCGAGGCTTGGTGAGGAATGATGAAGGAAAGGAAGCCATGAGAACCCAGTGGGCAGTGAAGCCCACGAAGCCCAGTGCCACAGCCTTTGCAGGAAGGGAGCCTTCCGGGGAGAAAAGAGGACGCAGAGAGCAGGGGGACACATCCTGGTAGAGCAGGTGGTCGGTGGAATGAGTCACGTATCAGGCATTAGTCTAAGGACCTGGCCCACAGCCCTGGGCCTAAGAATTTCATGATATTCACCCACTGAATCCATTGGCAACCCCCAGGTATACACACCGTCATATTCTCATTTCACAATTTAGGAACTGAGGCACGCTGAGATCAAGCCACTTCTTCAAGGATCCCCAGCCAGTAAAAGACGTAGGCTGGACTTGAACCCAGGCACATTGGCCATTTGGTTTAGTGCCCAGTAGCCCCTCTAGGGAGGTCTTCCCCAGCCTGGCCCCTCCCACAGGGCCAGGGACCTCCCAACACTCCCCCATACACACTGGTTCTCCCCATGCCTTCTTTCCCTTTCAACAAGAACACCCTCGGCTCAGCTGGTGCTTGCCTGGCATGTGTGAAGCCCCGAGTGCCATCGCCAGCACGGTGTGAACCAGCACTGCTGGCATGTGCCTGTAATCCCAGCACTTAGAAGCTGGGAGCATGAGGGTCAGGGCAACATAGTGAGTTTGAGGCCATCCTGGGCTACATAAGAAAACCCAGGCCCCACCATTTACTGACTCAGGACCCAGGCTGTCTGCTGCTTCACACTGTCAACTCACTCACCTGTCAGCCTTTGGAATCTTATGTCTCAGACTCCACTGTGACTGATGCTTCTGCCACACCAGGAGGGCCTTCTGTACCTCGGGAGCACTTTGTAGAGCCTAGGCTAGCGCAGGAAATCCTAGGATCAGATTCCCTCAGGTTAGAACAAGGCCCTCCCATGGCCAGAGGGGTTCGGGTAGAGGGGTGGAGGACCAGAGCCTGAGACAGACAGGAGTCTGGAACTCAAGGCCCCTGCTGGCTGGCAGCTGGGCTTTGGCAGTTACTGAAGCAAAGAATGCACCCTGGCCACCTGGGTGCTGTCCAGCCCTGCCAACCATGGCCTTGGCCTCGGAGAGCCCGCTGAGTGACGCTTGGAGCTTTTCTCTCACTTCTGCTCAGCCAGACAGCTGTCCTAACTTCCTGTTAGGACCCTCTCCTCTTCTCCTCCCATTTCTGAACGACCCGAAGGATGGTTTGCTGCCTGCCCACCTGTGTCTGTCAGGGAAGGACCAAAGAGGGCCTGTGCCACTCCTCATGGCCTCTGGGTCCCCTCATGGCCTTACTGAGAGATACTGATCCTCAGTTCCCCTGCACAGGAAGATCTGCTGTATGAGGTTTGGTCCCATGCAGGTTTAGACAGCCCAGGACGGACATTCCCAGGAACACAAGTTCCAAACTACTAGGGCTGCCGCCTTGCTGACTGAATCACACCACATTCCTGTGGTCTTCACACTTGTAAGGCTTCCAGGTGATTGATTTCCATGTAACCCAGAGTTTTGTGCACATCAACCAGAATTCTATCCAAAAAGGAGGTATAATGGCCAAGAGGTAAATCAGACATAATCTGCTTATTTATAGAGAACCATGGTTCATATTATGGTATCTGAGGCCCTGACAGATGTAAACGGAAGTTTCTTGTCCCGACTGCCTGTTCCCAAATAACCACTCTGAGACTTATATTAATTATAAAAGCTTGACCAATAGCTCAGGCTTGTTATTAGCTAACTCTTACATTTAAATTAACCCATATTTCTATTTATGCTTTGCTATGTGATACCACCTTTATTAGCATGATATATTCATCTCCTGCTCCCTCTGCATCTGGCTGGAGACTCCTGACTCTGCCCTTTTCCTTCCCAGCATCCTTAGTTTGGTTGCCCTGCCTGTACTTCCTGCCTGGCTACTGGCCAACCAGCGTTTTATTAAACCAATCTGAGTGACAAATCTTTACAATGTACAAGAGGATTATTCCGCAGCAGACAGGTCTTGCAGTGAGCAACTTGTTCAGTCTATACTTCTTACCTTCCTGAAACCACTGGATTCCAGGACAGTGTCCAGCAGCACACGCCAGCGATGTTCTTTGTTTCAGCCTCTCCTGTTGAGTCCCTATTTTGTGTTAAGTGCTGTGAGAGAAGTGCAGGGGTGAGAGTGGTGAGCAGGAAGACTCTCTGCCTTGCCGAGCTGGGAAAGGAAGGAGGGGTCATCAGCGGGCACCACAGTGGTTGTGGTCACACTGTGAAAAATGCTGAGCATGGGGAAAACGGGACCCTGGGAGGGAATTAGAGGGACTTGTTTTTGATGGAGCTAGTGGGGCGGGCATTGGAGAGGTGTAGCTGCCCTTGACGGCGCAGGCTTTTGGAACTGCACCAGAAATGTAGGTCCATCCTGCTGCAGAGTTCAGATTGCAGATGCCAAGGACTGTTCTGTGGTCCTCTGCTGAGCCTGGAGAGCACCCGTGGGAGGGGGCCTGGAGAGCACCTGTGGGAGGGGACTGGAGAGCACCCATGGGAGGGGCCTGGAGAGCACCCATGGGAGGGGCCTGGAGAGCACCTGTGGGAGGGGCCTGGAGAGCACCTGTGGGAGGGAAGGGTCTTGAGAAAATGAGCCTGTTTAGCCTTTCAAAAGCTTTCAGAGCCCAGGGTGGGTCCTCTTCCACTGTCCCACGGTAATGAACCACACAAAGCCCTGAATCAGGCACATGTTACAAGTAGTCCTGGTGGCCAATCTGCTTCTTCCTGAAGGTGGCGTTGTGAAAGGGGACGAGATCATGGCCATCAATGGCAAGATTGTGACGGACTATACCCTGGCTGAGGCTGAGGCTGCCCTGCAGAAGGCCTGGAATCAGGGCGGGGTGAGAATGAGCCCCTCCCCCTCCCGCTCCCTCCTCCCGCACCACCTGCCGCAGACCCTGGTGTCTGAAGCCTGGCCTTACAAATGGCAATGGCCCAGTCCAGGGCTGGGACCCAAGGTCCAGACAGTGGATTGGACCTGAAAGGCCACAGCCCTGAGAATTGTCACTTCTGACTTAGTCTTGAGTCCCAACAGCAAGTGGCACAAAGTCCAGAAGACTGGACATGGCCATCTACTCTGCCCCCCCACACACACAAAAAAACCCCAAAACTCCAAGGTCTTCTCTAAGCGTGTGCTAAGTAGGAATCAAGAGGGTGTTGGGGGGCTGCTAGAGAGTGAACAGACCAGAGGGCAGACGGAAGAGGGACCGGTAGTCTGTTCCATGCTTAGCAGATATGCCACGTGGACCAGAGCTACCACTTACAGTCTCTCGGGATGTGCACTGCACAGTCTGGGGGGCACCCTCCGACAGACTGCGACCTAAGTGGTACCTACCTACTCACGCTGTGCAGTGCACAATGTGTGCCACTGTGTGCAGGCAGCTGAGCCTGAGCTAATAAGTTCAGGGCCGAGGAAGCTGACCAGATGGGCCTGGGACCCACATGAAAGGATGTGGAGGCGAGAAGACCAACGGGTAACACGATGACCGTCTTTGAAGGGCTGTGTCAGGACAGAGGGGAGCACTTGTGCTCCATGCTCCTGGAGGGAGGCCATGGGGGGGTTCCGTTCAATCTTAGGAGCTTTGGTGTGGGGGGAGGGGGTAGTGCTCTTTCAGGACTTGCCAGTGGACACACCCAAGGCTGGGGTGGACAGTGATGAGCAGGCTAACAATGGTGACGATGCCATTGAGGGGGCTGAGTGCCAAGGTCGGAGAGTGAGGTCCAAAGGGCCTGTGTTTGCTATGGCTCAGGGTTACAGGTGCAGCTTGTCAGTGGTACCCTTTCCTAGGTTGTACCCCAGACTTTAAGGGGTCACATCTGGAAGTCCATGAATGATTGTAAAGTGGCTGACCAGCCCTGCTCCATAGATTCACATGGAAACCTGGTGCCAACTGAGCGTCTTGCAGCCCTGCTTCTGGGGGAGAGCTTTCCTAGGGTGTTGGGCCTCCAGAAGCGAACCCCAGCTTTCTCTGTGCCCTGGCTGACCCCGGCCTATGAAGCCCAGGATTGGGACAGAACACCAGGCAGATGCATCACCCACCCCTCCGTGTGCCCTGTGGGAAACACGGTGTCTCTCCACAGGACTGGATAGACCTTGTGGTTGCTGTTTGTCCCCCCAAGGAATACGACGATGAGCTGTAAGTGTGTGTAGGCACCCTGCCCTTGAACCACCCCCCCTCCCCATCCTCCCAGGATCCTAGCCACCTTCCTCCAGCCTCACCCAGTGAAAGGGATGCCCTGGGCACACATCTGCTGGAAATCATGGGGCCTAGAACACCCTGGGCTAGAGACACCTAGGAACAGAGTCCCGGGCCTTAGCAGTCTTGGCTCACACTGGCCCACACTCACCTGCCCAGCGTAGCCTCCATTCCACATGCCTTGAGGAATCGACAGTGCTTGTTGGAATCCAGGGCCTAGGCAGGACTGGGAGAGGCGGAAACTGAGTGCGGGGAGAGGTCCTGCAGAGCCAAGAGGCAGTAACTGGGCCCTCTTGTCTCCTGCTCCACCCTGCATGTGAAGCTCTTCCCCTCCCTCCTCTGCAGCCGAAAGCCCCCAGCTGGTCCGAAAGCAGCTTGAAGCCCATGAGCCCGTGTGTAGGCACGGGTTCTTCCTGCAGCTGGAGCCCACGGTGACTAGGCAGGCAGCTGCAGGGCCCTGTCTGCCCACGCTGCGTGCCATGTGCTGCCCATGATCCTGGCGGGTTCTTTGGACTGGTATCTGAAGGGAGATAGAGGCAGCCTGCAGAAATGTCTCCCTTGGGGCTGCTGCCAATGGCGGGGACACTAGAGCTTAAGGGGATGTGCAAGGCCCAGCTGGGGGCACCGGCTGGAGACCTGGGAGTGCCCACAGCCCTTAGCACCACCTGCTTTGGGTCACACTCGGAGTCCCTTGGAGCAGGGTAGCAGGTAGCACTGAGCAATGGTGCTTCCCACCTGCTGGACTAGGCCGGAAGTGGAGGCCCACGGAATCTCCCCGCTGGGGCCTCTCTTCCCCATGAGAACCTCTGCAGGAACCCCTGCATTCTGCTCAGGCACAGCCAGGCCATTCCGGCTCTTTTAGCTGGTCCAAAGAACCACGGTTGGTGGGTTCCGTTGATGTGCCGTCATGTCCCAAACCCTGCTTTGGGACATTGTCGCTGGTCTCCTTCTCACCTTGATCTGGCTGTCTCTGGCACACCAGGGAGCCAAGCTTCGGCGTGTGCCTCCCTACCTGTGTCCTGCATTTGGTGGCTGTGACCCCTGAGTTGATTGTGGTCTAAAGCCCACAGCCAGGGCAGCTCCAAGCCTGGGCTTGTGAGTTGCTTCTCTTAGAATTTTCCAAAATACTGCTCCTGCTCCTGCTTCATGCACCAAGACGGTGGGCCTGGCCTACCATGTCCTTGATGGCCATATTGTCACTTGCTCTTGACAAGTGACTCCTGTCCTGCTGCTCCTACGCCCACCCTTCCCCATCCTGACAACTGTTCTCTCTTCCTGTGTGCTGTGGCTGGTGTGAGCCGAATTGAGAGGGGCCCCTGGAGACTGGCAGGGCTGTGTGCTGCCATGGTGGGGCCAGCCATGGACAGAGGGTCATTCACAAGGCTCGTCCACCCTGTCTGTTTCTTCTCCCCCACAGGACCTTCTTTTAAAGTCCGGAGAGAGAAGCCAGCCAGACTCCATCCTGGAGTCCGGTAAGCTCTGCACCTAGCCCCTGAACTCAGCCTGAGAAACAGTCACCAGGTGTAGAGAGGTCTCCCTGAAACCGTGCCCCAGACAAAGAATGCAAATGGCCTGGTCCCTCCTCCAAGGCGGCCAAGAAGTGGACCAAAAAGCAGCTGCCCTTCTGGAGGCGCCCTGCAGGATTCCAGGTCCCATTTCCCACTTCCTCCAGCTCTAAGTGGCCCCTCCCAGCTCTGGAGCATTCCTTCCTTGAGACCTAGGAGCCGCCAGCTCCTGCCGCTCTCTCCCACCCTCTTCTGATCACGGCTGAAAACCTGACTGAGCTCACTAATAAACAAGATCGACTCCTTTTCCAGCTTCTGGGATGAATGTGCATGGACAACAGATTCAAGGCTGTAAAGTGAAAGTTGTGGCCCCGTGGCTGTGATCTGAGCATGACATGCGGAAGTCCGATGGCCAGGCCTGGCTCGGGGCTAAGGAGAAGGTAGCAGGAGCCCCAAGCTGGGCTTTGGGGTGTCCCTGCCAGAGAGGTGGGGAATGGTGTGTGGCAGGGCTTTGCCCTGTTCCCCTCAAATGGGCACCTCAAGGTGTAGAGCTGTTATCAGAGACCACACTGCATCTCCTAAGGTTGCCAGGGAGAGGGAGAAAGGTGTTGAGTTCACCCCCTACACAGAATGTAACCCAGCAGAACCTTAGGGAAGAAGAAACAGGGTGTCAGCAGGGACAAGACAGGGCCTCCTGGATACTCCCTGGAGAGAGTTTTCATACCACATTGAACCCAAAATACACAGCATTAATCAGATAAGAATTGGAAAGTTCCAGACAGCTTGTATAAAGTAGGGCTTAGGACAGGCCCTAGGGGACAGCTGAAGCCAGAATCCGCAGGGGAACTGGGCCAGGCATGGGGACCTTCTGTAGTGACACAGGACTGCTCATTCACACTAGTGCCCCCCATAAGTGGCAGAACCCTTCTTCTGTACCTGCACACTCAAGGGCTGACAGGAGGTGCTGATTTATCAATTCTGGCCCACAGGGCACCACACAATCTACTACCATCCCTAGATATCCAGAAAAACCTGAAGCGAAGGGGGGATGCTCTGCATCATCCCATAGAAATACAAATCTGAAAGGCTGGGGACCTGACTGCGCTCTTGGCTCTCGTCCCTCAGCATCCCATCTCCTCATTGAAGTTGCTTCCCATGGCTGGTCGTGTTGCTGAGCCAGCTCTGTCTGAGCTTCCCGCCTCTGTCTCTGGAGAGCTGAGGCCACGGCCTCTGCCCTGAGGTGCTCCTTTCGGGGCCTGTGCATCTGGAAAGTGTCTTCCCAGCTGGGTCCAGCCTGATCCTCACTCCCAGAGTCATCCAAGGATCCTGTCCAGCGCTTTGGGCTCTATTCCTTCCTCTCCGTGATTGACATTTCTTTGATCCCAGAGCCCTGGGCTGGCCCCAACTCTGTGAAAACAAAGGAGCAGAGCCAGGGTCCAGAGAGAAGGCAGGTGGGATGCCTGGCACCAGGAGCCGGCAGTGGGTGGGGTCGGTCCTGCTGGGGGTTTACAGTCCGCTTCAGCAGGGTTGAGATCTGCTGGCTGCACACATCCGTCTTTAGGGGGTCTCATTTACATGGTTCAACTTGACCACAGGGCAAAGCTATGCTCATCACAGAAACCAGACTTCAGTCTCAGTCCCTTCCCAGGCTAGAAGAGTATATGGTGTGGCACGTTCTGGTAGTGTTGGGCAAAGGAAGGAAGCCATAGTCCTAAGGCAGCCGTGCCGTGGGGGTGGGGGGTGGGGAGCACCACCACTCTGCTGTGTGTTGTGGATGTTAAGGGTTACAAGTGCAGTCTGCTCACAGTATTTCCTGCTTACAGTGGTACTCTCTTTGGACCAAGAGGGTCTCCATAGGCCTGTGCGGTAGTACTCCTCTGTCCGGTGCTATTGGGGAGTGGGGAACTAAAAGGGATGCTCTAGGTCTTTGCGGGTTGTATGGGTTGGAATGTGACATGTCTCCCACCGGCCCATGTGTGTGAATACTTGGATCCCCCAACTGGTGGCACTGTTTTGGAAGGCTGTGGGCTTAGGAAGTGCAGCCTTGGGAGGAAGTGGATTGCTGGGGGTGGGCATTACAGCTCCTCGTCTCACTTCCTGTCTGCAGAGGCTGCTGCAGGCTGCTGCCACCATGCTCTCCCCATCATGCAGGGCTGTATATCCCTTCCAAAGCTGGGAGCCCAAATCAACTCTTCTGACTTTTTTGCTTTTGTTAGGTTGTTTGTTTGTTTGTTTGTTTTGGTTTGTTTGTTTGTTTTTTTGACCCAGCAGTGTGAGAAGTTAGTAACATGAGTGTTTTCCTAAAATTGGATTATGAGACACCCGACACCC